TTTATTTATTTATTTGTTGTTTTGTGTCTGGCCCAACCTGCCCTTGGAGTGGGGCTGGCGCAGCATGTGGTGCCCGGGGATCGAATGCAGTCAATGCACTTGCCTAAGCTTGCCTAAGCAGGTGTTTTAGACTGCTGAGCTACCTCACCAGCCAAAGCAATGTCACAAGCTTTGTTTTGTGACACCAGGGATCAACCCCAGACCTTATGTGTACTGGGCAAGTGGGAACACTTACCTACATGTTCAGAGCTATAATTGTTCCTTAGATTTTTTTTTTTTTTGAGATAAGGCTATTTAGTTCAGACTGGCCCTCAACTCTCTCTGCAGCCCAACTTGACTTTCACCTCCAGATCCTCCTGCCTCAGCCTCCCAAGTGTTGAGATCACAGACATGTGCCTGCCACCATGCTCAGCCATTTCTTAGAATTCTTGTGATTTCCTTAACTCTTCTCTTCAGTTTAATTTGCTATGGAGCAGCTTAGGTGCAGAGAAAAAGCATTCCTCCTGACTTTTTTTAGCAAAAAGATTAGAGAGAAACAAAGAATCCACAGATTGGCAATAATTGTCATTGGGCCAGTTAAGACATAGCAACTCTTCTGCCAATTTCCAATATTTTTCTTTTTGCTAGAGATGGGAGAAGTGTATGATGATGTGGATGCTTCTGACTTCCCTCCTCCGCCAGCAGAGATGAGGTAATTGGCATGCTTTCATCACAGTGGACTCTTTGTCTTACATCTTTGCCCTCATCCTTCTTGTTCAAGCCCCTTTGTTTTCCATCAAATTATTTCTTTTTGGGGCTGGGAATCACAGCCAGGACCCATATATACCAGCCAAGAGCTCTACCACTGAGCTGTGTGTCCCGCTCCTCTGACTTGAGGGGCCAGGGAGATGGCTCAGTGGAATAAGCACTTCCTTGGCAAGCACAAGGGCCTGAGTTCAATCCCCGGTTCGCATACAGCCTCACTCTTGTCCCACGCAGGCCACACTGGGAAGGGCATGACATGTAGGGATGGCCACAGCTGTGACAGACCTCAAAGAGTTTTTTGTTATTGTTGACTCAGTTTCTCTTACATGAAATATTCAGACCAAATAAAGTGTCCCAGTTGGCCAGATGAACTCAAGCAGTTGGTCTACGACCTCAGCCTTTTATCATGAGAAGCAAATCACATGAAGCACAGATCTTCCAATCCTGCCAATATCAAGGAACCTTTAGCAGGATACCAAGCATTGGGACCAACACAAGTCCAGAAGCCAGCAGGGCAGACATTAAGTCCTGCAGTTCCATGTGGACCGTCTGAAGCGATCTGCCCCAATCACATTTTAACAGCAGTCCAAGATTCAAGTTTCCATAAAGACCTGAAGGACAGGGTTGGGAGAACCTCTGCACAGCGGAACAAAGCGAGCACCCGAGGGGGCACTGCAGCTAGAGCGGGCAGGTAAGGTCCTCACCCTTCCCGCAGGCCTCGCCTAGTTTATCTCTTCCTCTGTACCCCCCCCCTTTTTTTTTTGGCAGATCCGGGGATTGAACTCAGGCCCTCGCACTTGCCAGGGAAGTGCTTATTCCACTGAGCCATCTCCCTCGCCCTGTACCCCTTTTTTTGAGACAGGGTCTCACTGTGTAGTTCAGGCTGGCCTTGAACTCACTATGTAGCCCAGGCTGGGCTCCAACTCACAGGTGATCCTCCTGCCTCAGCCTCCCCAGTGCTGGGATTACAGGCATGGGCCACCACGCCCAGCCCCTTTTGCTTTCTTTTGTTTGTTTTTTGCTTTTGTTGAGACAGAGTCTTGCTATGCAGCCTGGGCTGGCCTTAAATTCCACCAGCCAGGATCCCCCTGCCTCGGCCTCCCAGAGTGCTGGGATTACAGGTGTGCGCCACTACATGGAGCCTGTGATATCCTGACAATAAACTGAGAAAGCCAGGCATGATGGCACACACCTCTAATCCCAGCACGCTAGGAGGCTGAGGCAGAAAGACTGCAAATGCAAGTCCAGTTTGGGGCCTCATAGTGACTGAGTGAGAGCCTGTCTCAAAATAAAAAATAAAAAAAAAAAGGGCTGGGAATGTAGCTAAGTGCACAGACCCCGAGTTCAATCGCCAATACTGAAGATCCCCCTCCCCGCTGGAGTTCTAGGAGCCATTCTAGCAAATCAGTTGAACCCGAGAAGGGGCTGTGAAAACCGCAATTTATAGCTGGTGGGTCAGGAGCACAGACAGTTACCTGGGCTTCCCACTGACAGCTGAAGTATGATCCGGGCTTCTCACTGGCAGCTGAAGGGGGCCCCAGTCTTGGGGACCATACCCTGACATTGCCGGCAGATCATGTCAGAATTGAATTGAATTAGGGATATCCTGCTGGGGTCTGCTGCTGAGCTGTTTCTTGGTGTTCGAAGTGACCGTGTGGGGTGCAGGCTTGCTTGTGATCCAACCACCCGGGAAGCTGAGGCAGGAGGATCACCAAGAGTTCAAGACTAGCCTGGGCTCTACATTATGAGTTCAAGGCCAGCCTGAACCACAATAGTGAGACCCTGTCAAGGAAAAACCCAAAAAAGGAGGAGTGACCATGCTGTGGCAGCGTAGTGAGAGAAAGCATTCTGGGTTTTGTTTTAGCCCTTCTGCTGAAGCCAAGAACAGCAGGAGGAGTCCTCACATCCTTGCGCTCCTCCCTCCCCCACAGGTCTGTTTCACCAGCCAGGAAAGTCTCCCACTTCCAGACCCACGTGACCACAGGCGCACCCTCGGATTCCAGAATAAACTCACACTTCAAAGTCCATAGCTTGCTCCTGGCTGCTAGGCCCCTGGGGACACAGGTCTGCTCACCGGTTCTGGGCCTACGGTGTGGTGGCAGGACCTTTGTTTTGTGTACCAAGCATGAGTTTTTTTAAAAATTGTGTTCTGTTTTGGTGCTCAGGGCTGAACCCAGGACTTGACACTGAGCTACACCCCCAGATCCTTATTTATTTGTCCCTTTAAAAGTCTTTTTATTTATTTATTTTTTTGGTACAGGGTCTTGCTGTTCAGCTGGGACTCATAGTGATCCTCCTGTCTCAGCCTCCCCCCCAGTGATGGGATTACAGGTATGCGCCCACCATCCCCAGGCCTGGGGGGGTTACTTCCTATTTATGAAAATGATACCGTTTACACTCAATGTAGCAATGCCAACTTTCCTTTTTTTTTCTTTCTTTTTTTATAGTGTTGGAGATTGAACTCTGGGCTTTTGCTGAGTTGCATCCCCAGCTTTTTTTGTATGTATTTGATTCAGGGTCTCTCACTACTCAGCTTGGACTCATAGTGATCCTCCTGCTTTCAGTCTCCCCAGCACTGGGATTACAGTCCTGTACCACCATGCCTAGACTTAGTCGTTGGCACAGTGCACCCTTGGGGTCAGGGCTGGCACAGGAGACCGGGGATCAAACCCTGGTCCCTGTGCTTGCTGAAGCAGGCGCTTAATCCACTGAGCTATCTCACTGGCCCCTCCCAGCTCTTTATGTTTTGAGACAAGGTCTTGCTACATTGCCCCAGGTCTTATGCTGTCCATGCTGGCCTCCAACTTGTGATCCTCCTGCCTCAGCCTCCCAGAGTGCCAGGATCAGAGGTAAGCTGCACCTGGAAGGTTACAGGTAGTTCTTAGAGCACAAACAAAAAAAAAAACTGACGAAGCAGCCAGATAAGGAGGAAGCTTTGAGAAACTGAGGAGATTCTAGAGAACGGTGTGAGCCGGGGGCAGCTGGCCTGGAAAGAGACAAGGCCTGTTTATAGGAAGCTGGCGCCCTGGTCCCAACAATAATCCTGTTGACATAGCCCTGTTGATCAAAGCAATCCCCTGACTGCTCCAGGCCAGTTCCTGTGGCTCAGGGTGGAATTCACTCAGCGGATCCGGATCTGGTGAATATAAGAGGTCTTGTCCTGTGCCGGAGGAGCCACACCCTGGAGGAGGTGGCCGAACACCAGTCCCCTCCTGCCAGAGCTCGGCATGGCCCCCTCGGAAGACCCCAGGAACTGGAGAAGCATGCTCAAAGACACTGTAGACCTGGAGACCGTCTCTGGTGAGAGGAGCTCGGGGCTCAGGGCTCTGGGCAGACGGGATTCAGAGCTGCTGGGGTTCTCAAGCGTAGTCGGGTTCCTTCCGTTCTGGTATTAAGCAACCTGCCAGCGTGTAAATTTCCTCCCCAGTTCTTATAATTTTTTATTTTTTTACGGAGGTTATGAGCAGAATATATTCATTGGGAGAAAGAACCTGTACAAAAGGGGGACACGAGGGTGGCCCAAGGGGGTGTCCCCCTCTTGTAATATTAAGAGCATGTAATTACAAGGCTAGGCGTGTCACTCTCGGAACCTGAAAAGTTATCTTTTTTTGGAGGGTTGGGGTTCTGGGATTGAATCCAGGGCCTTTACCCTAAACTACCACTCCAGTCCTCTTTTATTTTGAGATAAGCTTTTGTTAAATTGCCCAGGCTGCTGTCTAACCAGTGATCCTCTTGCCTCAGCCTCCCAGAGTGCCGAGACCCGGATAAAAAGTTAGCATAGGCTTGGGCTTCATTTTTTTTTTTTTTTTTTTTTTTGGCGGAACCAGGGATTGAACTCAGGCCCTCGTGCTTGCCGGGCAAGCGCTTATTCTACTGAGCCGTCTCCTGGCCCAAGGCTTGGGCTTCAGATAGCCCTGCTCTGGCCCTGGCTTCACTGGTAATATCGGTGGATCGGTTCCTTCACACTTCTGCTGAGCTCTGGACTCTGAGCTGGGTGGTGCGGGGAGGGTGAAGACAGAGCAGGGATCCTCAGGCAGATGACCCAGGCACAGGTAGGGTTCTCCAAGGCGAGAAGCAGTGCTGGGCTTGCTGGTGCGTACCAGTAGTCCCAGCACTCTGGGAGGCTGAGGCAGGAGACTGCAGCTGGAGGCCAATTTAGCAAATTAGTCAATGAACGGCAGAGGATATTGCTCAAAGCAAAGGCCCTATTACACACACACACACACACACATACACACACGCACGCGTGCGCAAGAGAGAGAGAGAAAAAAAAAATTACTTAGGAGACGTACCATCATGGTTCCTGAAGATGCCATTTGTGCAAGCTGAGCCTTGGTTTCCTCGTCCATAGCAGGCACTCTCGTTGAGGACCTTGGGCCAGCAGGCAGAGTGGCCCCCTGGGTGCTTGTGAGAAAGGCCAGATCTCAGGCCCCACCCAGACGTGTTTTAATCAGATCCTGGGTAGCTGCTGGGCAGTCAGTGGAGGAGCTTGGAGACAAAGGCGTGGAAGGCCCATGGCTGACAAAGGGGGCAGGCAGGATGGGACCTCAGGCTGGGGTTGGGGGTGCAGCTGAGTGTAGAGCGTTTGCCTGGCATGCAGGAGGCCCTGGATTCATCCACAGCACTGAAAAGCAAAACAAAAATATAAATGATTTGTAAGCCCAGCACTTGGGGAGGGGAGGCTGAGGCAAGAGGGCCCCTGTGTGTTCAAGGATATCCTGGAATACATAGTAAGTTGAAGACCAGCCCAGGGCTGGGGAGATGGCTCAGTAGAGTAAGTGCTTCCCCTGGCAAGCATAAGGGCCTGAGTTCAATCCCAGGTTACACATACACACACACACACACACACACACACACACACACACCCTAATTATATAACAAGATGCTATCTCTGACAAACAATCAAAAAATAAAAGAAAATCTCTTAGGTCTCTCCCATGCTGAACCCCTAAAGACCCAATCAACCGTCCTATCTATGCATCTCTCTTGTAGTTTTGGCTGACCTCCAATATCTTCCTGCCTCAGCCTCCCCAGTGCTGGGATTACAGGCAGGAGCCACCATGCCCGGGTTCATCTTTGCAAAAATTGAATGAAGTGAGCCGAGTGAGCCGTGCTGTGCCAACACAAACCTGTGGTCCTTTCCTTCCTTCTAGGTGGGAAGCCAGCCCAACCCCAGGCCATCCCCAAGGCACATGTGACTTTCATCATTGACTGTGCCCGTGGGAAGCAGCTCTCCCTGGCAGCACCCCCAGTGCCACCCCAAGTTCCTACTCCCAGAAAGAGTCCTGTCACCCCATCAATGAAGACCTATATTGTGTTCTGCAGGGAAAACCAAGCCCCCACGACTCAGGGCATCCCTCTGGAGAGATGGCACTCTGCCCAGGCCAAGAACACCCTGGTCCCCTGCCCAGGGGCCCAGGCCCCCACCTCGCACCCTGCCAGCCTGTGCAGTCCCCAGGAGCTTCCTAGAGCCAAGAGGAGCCCCCAGAAGGTGAGGGCTGCAGCATCTTCACCTTGGGGGGCTGTCAAGGGCTCGCTCAAAAAAGCCCTGTCTTCCTGTGTCTGTGGGCAGGCTGATTAGGGCCAACCTCCTTTCCCTAGCCAGGAGGGAGTCTTCCAGCCTGAGCCCAAGGAAGCACATGGGGCCCTTGGCAGAGACCAGGCCAGGGCCACCACTGTCGTTTTCTGGGGGCTCACATTTTTGGGGTGAGGGCTGGGAGGGTGAAACAAATAACCAAATAAAGACAACTTGGAAAAGGGACATGTGCTGTGCCGGTGGGACACAGGACCAGAGAGGCTGGGAGGAGCTTTTCCAACTTGGTGGTTGGGAAAGGCTTGTTGAGCAGGTGACACCAGAGGGTGTCTGAGAGATGTTATCTCCTCCCAGGAGAGATGAGCATGCAGGGTGGGACGCAGAGGACACTGGGAGGGGGTGTGGCCGATTGCTTGGGAAATGAAGCTGAGCGTAGTGGTGCACTTCTGTAATCCCAGCACTGAGGAGGCTGAGGCGAGAGAATCACTGCGAGTTCAAGGCCAGCCTGGGCCACAAAGTGAGTTCAAGGCCCCCCTGAACTGCGTAGGGAAACCTTATCTCTAAAACTAAAAAAGAAGGGGCTGGGGAGATGGCTCAGTAGAATAAG